TGGCTGCGTAGAAGATTACATACACACTATGGGGAAGAAAAAGGCACTGGCCACTCAAGTATGTGTGTCCCTTGTGGACATATAGTGGCCTCCAAGGCCTGAAAATATAGTCAATAAGTGCTAGTGACTACAGGACCTTGGACTAATCAGCATGGTAGGAGGGAGAATTATTGTCTTTTGTCACCAATAGTTAAATAGCTAGGGTCCTTCTCACAGAAAGGCAGAGGAGCTGGTTTTGTGCCCTCCACCCCTCGGCCCACTAAAGGGCTAAACATGTTTAGTATATCCTTAATGATTCTGTTTTTATGCCTCCTATGTGAGATCTATGAATGTGTGTCTGACATGTGGGATTTTTAGTAAATTTTGGGTAAAGAGGTGCTGGGAACACAGAGGACTAAACTAGCAAGCGGAAGCTCCACCACCCTGTGTTTCTGAGTACCCCGACTTGCAGTGTATCTGAAACCTATTTGTGTCTTTCCCAGCTGACTGCAATGTGACAGGGTTTAGAATTGCTCCAGCTTCCTCATTGCTGATTGCTTCACTTTACAACTCAGCAAATACTGCAAGAGGAAATCACAGATATTAGTCTGGAAAAAAAAAAGAAATGTGTAAGCCTGGATGGAAAGGTAATGATTAAACTCGGCAGCTGTTTTATAGCTGGAATTGGTCGGGGAACTTGATATTCTATTTTTCTAAATTATATTTCAGTGTATTTTAAGAAAACAGGACCCAGACATACCACCAAACTTTTTAGCAAGGTCAGCCAGGGAAGTGAAGTCCAGCTGCTTGACAGAGAATTAGCCGAATGATCCATTATTTACCCTCTAATGGACACCATTTTTGTCAAGTAACCTAATAGTGGAAAGTCTAAATGATGTTGTGGTCATTTTTCCACTTCTCATGTAAAACCTACATTATTTCTACATTCAAAACACATTAAAAATTGGTTGATTGATTGGGTTTTCCTTCTATGAAGCAGACAAAGAAAACCCCACTAAAGCCAATCCAGCTTTCAATAAAGTTGGGCGGAGATTTGTAACAAAAGAACGCCCTCCATCTGGAATAAAGGAAGGAGCAGACTGTGCCAACCTCTGCTGCCATTTGTGCATTTTTCTCTTTCATTGTTCATTGCATTTTTAAGATTCTGCTTGAAAGCCTGAACACAATGACATTTTTCTTTGAAGGTAGCAGAAAAAATAATATTTCCAAAATTAATCAAATTGGAAAACGGTATATTTTACTATTTATGAAATTAGTGGGAATTAAGCCTATTTAAAGCCTGATGATTAGGGAGAGACATACAGGCTGAATTAGCACCTGGGTCTCCAGAGGATGGGGAATAACTGTTTTGCATTGACTGAGCAAATGTCTGTGGAGATGTGGGAGGGATTGATCAGCCTCACTGGAGCTTCATTTTCAGCTGTGGGAAGGCTTCACTTGCAGTCCTGTTTCCAGCTCTGGGCACCATACTTCAAAAACGTGCCGAAATTATATCAAGTCTACCAGAGAGCAACAAAAATAATTAAACGTCTAGGAAGCAAGCCTTGCAAGGAATGGTTGGAACTGGGATTATATATGCTGGAGAAGGAGGGACAGCAAGGGAGATTTAAAAACACCTGAAAGCCAGGTTAGTTTGTGGTGAGGAAAATTTAGTTGGGATATTAGAAAACCGCTTCCCTATGAGGGTGGCTAAGCCCTGGAACAGATTACCTAGACAGACTGTAGCAGCTCTCTCCTTGGGAATTTTTCAGCGCCGGCTGGATCCACATTTGTCTGGAATGGGTTATGCAGATCAGTGATCCTTCCCTGAACAGGGGGTCGGTCTCGGTGACCTCCTGGGTCCCTTCTAGCTGCCCTTTTGTAAGGTGCTGGGCTGCAGGGAGCTGACAGGCCCATCAGCTCTCAGTGCTCCGGCCAGTTTAAAGTCTGATGCCAAGCTGCATAGCACAATTTTAAAGGTTTCTGCACATGCGATGCAATCTGAATGATTTTATCTGAAATCCCCAAAATTGTGTTCTGTCACACAGGTCTACCATGGCAGGATGTGTGCTTTTTGGGATCTGGGATAACATTTGTCAGCTTCCAATTGTGTGAATAAATGAACATCTCCCAGGGGCCCTAGACATCTAGGGTTATGGGGCCACTTAGCCAAAAAATGAGTCTTGCCTCACAAGAGGGATTTGGTTCTGCTGCGGGGGAGGCCCAGAGCTCTTCCTTTCTCTCAGGAAGGAACTTGATGCACCTCCGATCATGTAAGCACTGAGAAGTGAGTGTCTTGCAGTCGCAGGCCACGTGAGCATTGGGGCCAGCGTTCATGGTGGCAGCTTCTCTGATAACTCTGCTTGCTTCGCAGAAATGCAACATGTTGTTAAGTACGGATGAAGAATAACCACATTTGTCATGCCCTTTTATTCAGCTTTCTGTGTGTCTGGAAATGAATAATCAGTAAGGTCAAATCTCATGTTGCATTGCACAGTTTGTGATGGCACATACCTCACACCAACCATCCATGTTACTGTAGCAGTCTGCAAGATTATGGCCTTAGATTTGCACATGGATCAACAATTCAAATTTTGATAAAACTCCTAAAACTCATCCCCAGTCTTGGTTTACCAATATTGTATTTGATTTGGTTTCCCATTTGTTACAACAGGCAACTGGAGAAGGGCGCGAGACTTCAGTAGAGTCAGCAGGAAGACAGATCTCTAAAACTGCTGGAAAGGCTCGCATAATGGCTGCAGCATAACCAGAAGTAAAACTGGCATCTCCAAAATGACTCATCATATAAAAGACAATGAATAAATGTAGTTAAATTGTAGCCATATATCTTTTAATTAGTCAGCCCTTGACCTGATTTTAAAAAAACGAATTTGTTTAAATGGTATCATATTCTGTGTGTGCAGAAGGACTTAGAAACGACTGAAAATTCCTCCTTAATTCAGTGACTGAAACACTGGACACAGGAGAACCCCAAGTAATTCAAATAGCTCCTTGCTGCCTCGTCCGACATGAGGATGGAAAAGTTCTGCCAGGGGGTATCTCTTTGCCCTCTCTGCCCAAGGATCCTGAGAGATTGGATAATCTTCCCTTTGTGCTGGGCCTTGAGGGATTTACATCAGGGAGACATTGCTGGGAAGTGGAGGTGGTGGACGCGGGAGAACGGTGGGCTCCGGGGATGCCAGAGAGTCTGTGGAGAGGAAGGAATGGCCTAAGAAATGTCCTGAGGATGGGATCCGGACCATGGATCTCTGGAGGGGTGAGTGCAGGGTTTACACCATTGCTGACTGGATTCCCCTGGGCCAGGTGCCCAGGAAGACCTGGGTCTGTCTGGACTGTGTCAAGGGATGGGTGGCATTTTTCACAGGTGATATGGACGCCCTGATGATCACTTTCCCACAGGCCTCGTTCACAGGGGAGAGAAGCCACCCCTGGTTCTAGCTGGAAGGTACCCTGACTGAGCTCCAGCTGTGCCACTGAAACATCTGGGGAATGTACCAGAGAGGACCTCATAAATGACCACT